GGGGTGGGGAGCTATGGGGCCAATTGACCCCCTAGTTTTGAAATTCTTTTTTATTTTTTATTTTTTTGGTAGAAGATCAAAGTTTAAAACCTACGCTATAAATGTATAATGCAACCAGTAGCTCCAAACTCAGTTTTATGCTTTTATTTATCGGGAAGTGCTATATGTACATAATTGTCTACATAACGGTGTCCATAATTACACGTGGCACTAGATCCAACATTTAATTCAAATCTCACACTTGCACATCAACAATCGGATGATTGCCACGTCACATTATAGACACCATTATGTGCAATAATTATGTACAAGTAGAATTTTCCTTATTTCTCTCCAACTATTTGAAGCCCCTGTGCAACCTGTTCGCCTCTGTGCCAATCTGCTGACTGCGGACTGCCATTACCATTTTCGGTTTGATTGTGACCCTTTAACCCAAAATATATGGGTCTGCCCCTGGAATGATGTATAGAAATCTGAAGGGTAGTTTAACTGTCATAGTTTGATGATGTAAAGAAAATGATTGGATGCATGTCCCAACTGCAAAGCCCGATTCCTGTTTTATCTTTTGTCATCTTGGCCTTTTCCATGACAGGTGCGCTTGTATGGTAGGGTCACGAACATCAATTAAAATATTGAATTTTGTGTTTGTGGGGGGAAGAGTGCACAGAATATGTTTTCTTGGCCTGGGCTTTTTCCCTTGTTGTGTTGTTCATCTCCTTTTTTTTGCTGTTTAAGTTTTATCACTCGGGTAAGAGCATGAAGATACGTATGTAAAATCTGGAACAAGATTGGCAGTAATATACGATCAGCATGCTGTCTAGCCTCTCAGGTATATACTGCTTAAATTTGACATGCCCAATTCATTACTTCAAATACATGTCAATTTTCTAAATATAAGTCACTCTAGCATTATTCAGTTCATATTGTAGTTTAAATGATTTCTTGGATACGCATAGGGGGCATTGGCATGATAAACTTTTGAGAAATCCAACTTTAATAAGACTAACAAATTCCAATTCCCCGCTCAACTGAGGGAACCAGAATTTTGCTAATTGATCTTGACCAAATCTCAGAAATTATGTCGTTGCACACACTTTTAATGATTTAGTATCATGCACCAACAGTGGTCTTGAATGGTGCCTTATTAGTGAGAATTCATTTCAAATTTTTTGAACAACTCTATCAGCAAAGCCCAACCATATAAATTTCATTAATGATTTTCTTGAATATGCTGAGGCTTTTACTTTAATCTTTAGAAGGTTTGCAATAATAACTTCTGTAAGTATTTTTCTGGTTCTTTCTTTGAATCTTCTTGACATCAGAAATTTGTGGTCACTGCTTTCTTGAGATGTTTTCATTTTATCGTTAAACAATCTTGCTTCTTTGTTCCTACTCTGTTTTTCGGGTAGACCTGGCAACGATATAATAGATGTTCACACAAAGCTATATTTTATTTTCCTGACAGCGTGTTCGAATTTGTGGTGTCCTTTTCTTTCTGTAGTGTATACAGATTAAGTCTCCTTATGCCTAGGGGTGTTAAGTGGAACTGCTCGCCGCACTATCAAGCCAAGCAGCGAATTCCTCAGCTGCTCATCGGCTTACGAGCTGGCTCATATATGTGTGGAAAATGCAATTTTTAATATAATAATAATAATAATAATAATAATAATAATAATAATAATAATAATAATAATAATAATAAAAAACTGGAGAGCCGCACCAAGGGGCGAGTTGGTGAGCCAAGCTGAGCCCACATTTGGCGAAGTAAGCCAGCAAGCACTTAATTGGCAATTACATACTGATGGTGGGTGAGCCCTGTAGCTCGGCTTGACCTATTTAACACCCTACTTACGTCAATCGCGTTGGTTTAAAGTACACTCAGTTTATTTGTTCTTCAATATATTTTATTTAGACCATCTTGTATAGCTTTCTATATGTTGTTTAATGTCTTTCTACATAGAGATACTTCAAATATACTGAACCATAAGTTGTCACAACTATAGTGCAACATGAATGATATGACTGAATAATGTGCTCGTATACTTTTAATCCTTGAGTATGAGAATGCACATGGGATCTGGAAGGACTTTTTTCACCAGAGACATGGCAGATTCAAAGGATGCATTTGCTGATTACTTTTGGATGCTGGATTTCCTTAGTGCTATTCATCTAAGTTATTTTCTTTCTACCCAACTCAAGTATCAGATAGATAAACATGGAAATTTATTTCTGGCAATTCCTTACTCTGAACTTTATCATTTTTAGATTATGATAGATATATTCATTTGGTTTTCACCTTGATCTTGGATTTTGAAAGTCGTGTCTTATTTTATTAATTATGAGTCATAGTGATGACTTAACACTCTTGGTGATGAATGTTCTAGTTTTTGTTTCGTTTAATGAAGAGCTTAAAACATTGTCTATGTTGTCTGTTACACCTTCATTACTATTCTGTTATCTTCAAATCCACAGTGTATGGACTTCTATATTATCCTGAACCCTACCCCATCTTAACTGATTGTGGAAACTAACCTTAAATGTTGGAATGTGTTTCTACATGTGGTATTTTTATTCAAAATAATTTCATGAGACAAACTAAAGGTCTCAATTCAAAAATCCAATCTCACAAGTTAAATCATTGATTTGTTCATATGAGCATGCCAAATATGATTAAGAATTCAACAGAAGCACAATGCAAAGATTTATATTGTAGACTACAGTTGACTGATACAACTAGTTGAACATGTTATAACCATTAACAAGCAACCAACCAGATGGAACCCGAACCATACCATGTAAGGTGTCAGTTTCAACTTTTGGAGCCCTGTACCAACCCTTTTAGTTCTTTATTTCTACCTTATTCCATGATACCAATTCATGGTTGATCCTGCCAAGAGACCAGTGTACTCAGGGACTTTGAGCAGTATAAATATAGACAGACTATCTTCAACGATATGTCCCTAATTTGTTCATCATGAATTAAGATGAAAAACTAGTAAATGTGATGGAATCCCTGCTATTCAATTGCTCCCTTTGTATTTTTCAGGTTACCATTTTGAATTTCATTCATTGGCAAGGCAGAATTTTGTTTCTTAGATACTTAGACATAAGAGGGATCTTGATGGTTCATTAGATTTGAAAGCTTGGAGGCTATCGTTGTCGCTGCAATGTTCTTCTCTGTGGACATCCACTATAGCAAACAAGACATCCAAATAACATGGAGTGTGATGCCTCTGTTTTGTTTCACTGGGATTGTCTGATATGCAAGCTACTGCATCTTACGACGTGCCTGGAAGGTAAAAATTGATCCAACCACCTGTGCATTCATGAAGAGTTGAGGTTTTAAGAATGGCACTTCAGAATTATATTCACCATGATCCCTTGAGAGGTCGCGTGCATAATTTTGGCTGAAAAGGGAGTCTAATTATCATGACACTTTCAATAAATATCCCTGAAAAATTTATAAGTGCCCGTCTTCTGTTAATGGTTGGTTAATAATTAGTTTGACGAATTTAGTTAACAAATTTGAACTCGTGGGATTTGGAAAAACGATCCTTTATGGTGATTGTACTGGTTTAAGTTTCATATATTCTCGCTACAAACCTAAGATGTGAGATAAAAGATTGTGTGATTGTGAAAATATTTTATACGATCGACTGTATAAACCCTTTTAAGAGGACTTGTAAACAGCATGTTTACTAGTTTTACGTTTAAAAGCTATAAGTAGGTTTGTGGCATTTGTTGTAAACTCGATTTTAAGATATCAATGTTTTAAAGTTTTGCAAGAGTAATATCAAGTAGATAATTGATCGTCTGCAGTGTTTTAAGAAATAAGCAATTAAAGCTCGGGTAGCCAAGGTCAAGAGGAAACTCAAGCTGTTAATACAAGGTTATATAGTTCGTTCAATCAAATTGTTCTGTGTTTCATTAATTTTTGTCACTGGATTTTGGGTTACATTGTTTCTTTGAGATGGAAGAGGAACTCTACTGAACGTTTATTTTCTTTCCAGGTGGAAAAGGATCTCAGCCTTTAGAACAGCAACACATCTTTTTCATGTTTTACAATGTACAAAAACTCGTTTTAAAGGTACTTTCCTCTTTCTGACCTTCAATTCTTTCTGGAAAATTTTCTAACATGCGGTGAAATTTTTATATGATTTGAAACCAATTTAAATTTGGACACAATTGCAGACAGGCTAGTATCGTCTTCCTATGTTATGTTGGCATGGTGTTTTATTTTGTGCATCATTTTCTTACGCGGCAATCTTTAGCTTGATGCCTTGTCTTCCCACAATTGTAATTGTTGACCTTGGTTTTTGTAAGGGTGATGTGGACAAGAGATCTCGACTCCATCCACGTCCATGTAGACTAGTTCATGCACCCTTGCACAAACCGTCAGCTGTAATGGCCGCGAGCACTTTGACGGTTAAGTCAATCGATGATGATAGTTTATGGGGTGTGAGAACTGCTTGAGACGTAAGCCACTTAATTGTTCGGACACCAAGAGTAGTGTATGGAAGATTATCGGTTGAGTGTTTATAATTGCATTATCTTCAAATGACACTAATTATAAGCTTTTATAATAAAATAGATGTGATACTGACCGTTGGATAAAAAGACACGTGGTCTCTCTTGATGGCAAAGGTGTGCTCTCATAGGTCCATCAATCATAGGCTAGGTGGCTTTTAATGTTTCTAAAAAGCAGCCATCCTAGTGCCTAAGCGCAATGTCCAGAATTTTTATTACTAGTCGTTAGGTTTAAAATTAGGACTTAAGTGCACTATTATTAAAATTCAATGACTTTATTAGTTATTGGCCTAGTTAAATGACATTATTGTTGATTAGCCGATAGTTTGAAAACTTAAGTGGAGAGTTAATTTGGAAGTTAGATGGAATCATGTGTAAAATATATGTAAATATACCAATTATTCATGATTCAACATGATTTATTTGACCATATGCATTATTCATCACATATTAAGCAATTTAATTGATTTGACCACATAAATAAAGGAAGTTCATTTGATTACATGAATTATTTACACCAAGTTTCAAATCAAGTCAATTGATTTGACCACATGATTAAATGTATTGAATTGACAACTTTTATGATAATGCCCAATTTATGTATTGATCATGCCTAACATTTAGCCATTTCTTTTTACTTTTCTCCACATAGTTGACGAATTTACACTAACTATTTACACCCTTCCTATTTATACTTATCAATTTGTCTCTCCACCTTTACTCTTTCTCTTGTCCTTTTCATATTAAACTCCTGTTTGGTTGGGATTAAAATTAGATTTTTAGTAAATTTTAATAAAAATTGATGAAATGTGTGGTTGAAAAGTTGTGAGTCCTATAAAATGTGTGATTAAAATTACTTATTAACTTTGATTTGGATTAAAATCTGAATTTTAATTTTACCAAATAAGGGCTAAATATAGTCGTACTTTACACAATCACACAAACTCACACATGGCTCAAGAATCTCTCTTCAACAATCACTTCTTCTTTCATTTTGAATTGTCAAGTAAAGTGTAAGTGTGCTATTACGTTATTACATGACTAATTCTATATACGTTATTTCATGGCTACGTCAAGTTATAGTCTGTATTATGTATAAGATTTTATGGACAGACTAGACTATAGTAGCGCTTCGTACGGAAATTTGGTACCATTTATGTTAGGTCCGATATTCGTGTCTCTTTATGCAAATACAAAAATTTCCATGAAATGTATATGCATGAACAAAATTTACTCACGCACACTTATAGAAATTTTATATAACATTATTTTCTTTTTTGCCAGTTTTAGAAAATTAATGGTTCAAGGCAGTCGATGAGGAGGTGAATGCCATCGTGGGATATTCAAAATAGTTTTTTTGAAGTTATATCAAATTTTATTTAATATATGTTGAATTCATTTTAAGATTTTCTTACGTCAAACATATTTTCTTTAGAATACGCTTATTATGAGTAATGTTGAATCGTAATTATTTATTAAAAATTGCATCGATTCATTTCAACTCTTTTATTTAACTTTAATTATAATTTTAGTGACACTCGAATCGGTAAGATTTCGGGTTGTCCCAATTGGTATCAGAGCGGATTTACATTGCTGTACCAATAAAAAAATGAATAAATTAGCAAAAAATAAAATAAATACTTTAGTGACACGTGTTCAAATGAATGATTTTCATTAAAATATTATTTTATAATTTATGAATTACTAGTTTCAAACAAGTAAATTGTAATAGGGGTTAAACGATTTTTTATTTTTTATAATTCCCCACAATGCGTACTCCAAGTCGTCAACCCCTCGAATCTAGTATCCATATGTTTCATTGCTATATTTAATGTCTTTAGCTGTGCATATGATTATATTAATTATGTAAATAATACAATTTATGAGGCATGAATAATTATGACTTGCTATGACAAGTATCACAAATTATTTGTTTACCTGTTGCAACATGAAGTATTAAGACATGTCATGTTCATATTTAATTATAATATGTTGCATATAAGTATGTGATATACTTTAAATTTAAAGTATTGCTTAATTTCATTTATCAAGCATTTAAGTTAGGACATGTCAATTAGGAATTGCCAAAATAACAACACTAATAATAAAAATGCAATTTTTTCCCGTCTTTACTTATTATAATGTTATTCATTAAGGTTATGACACCCAAGATCGAAGAACCAACAACGCTGAATAATCTCAACAATTTCAACAATTCGAACAACCTTAATCTATCGATGTTGACCATAATATGCTCAGCAATTCCTCGCTATGATGCGTACTTTCTTTTAGGCGATAGTGCCACAACAACACCACTACAATTGACACCACCATCATCACCGTCACCAAAGCGAAAATAACCGATAGCGACAAACATCGATAGCGACAAAAGACACAAGGAACCCAGCTGTTGTTGTCGTGTAACTATTTACGAAACAACTCGTTCCAACTTTTGAGGGTGATTTGGATTCCTTGGAAGCAGAGGATTGGTTGATAGGAATAGAAAGGATCTTCGATCTTATTCACTGCCCAGGCTCCAGAAAACTTAAATGCGCAACTTTTATGTTGAAAAATGACTCTATACATTGGTGGGACTCAACCTCAAGGTCAAGGGCCTGTCCAACTCAAGGAAAACTCTGAAGAAGTACTACCCTACAAGTATTCGAAATCTAAAGGAGACTATGTTTAATACACTGACTTAAAGCTTGATATCTCTAATTGAATACAAGCAGAAGCTTGAAGAGTTACCCCACGACGCCTTTAACTTTGTGGATATAGAAGAGAAAAATATGAGGCATTTTGAATGGGGTTTAAGGGATGATCTAAGGTAGGTAGAGGTAGTTCTTGAACTAAGAACCTATCATGAAGTGTTAACAAACGCACAACTAGCAAATTTCAGAGGCCACTCTAGTGGGGAGAATAAACAACAGTATGGGCATGCAGAAATGCACAAGTGGGAAGATAACACGAACAAAAGGACAACTGAACCATGCTAAGAAAGGCAAATGATGCTTAATTAAACGTGACAATAAGAGCTACCCAATTTGCAACAAATGCAAGAAATACCATCTGGGGGTTTGTCTCCGAAGGTTGAACATATGTTTCTAGTATGGAGAATAAGGGTATATGGCCAGGTCTTGCCATAAAATCTAGTAGAAATAGGGAAGCGCACAACAGAGGTAGGAATATGCATCCAAGGGACATGCAAGAATCTTTGTATTGATTATACAAGAAGAGGATCAGGATCTTAATATTTTAGCAGAGAGTATACTAATATCCACTTACATTCATATGTATTAATTGATTCCGATACCATTCAGTCCTTTATATCCATTAAATTTGTACAAAGACTAAATGTGAATATTATATTTGCACGTTTTGTCTTTAGAAGTGTCTATACCATCTGAGAAGATGCTTGATACGTGTGGTTTCTACATGTAATTAGGATTCAAAATGATGATATTTTGTTATTTTTTACCTAATTTATTATTTATTGCTTTTATTAGGAAAAATTCATGTTTCGACGAAGAACTTGAAGAAAGAACAAAAAGGACTAAATGAAAGAAAATCTAAAGTTCGGGGACTAAAATATTAAAAAGTTGCTTCAAACCTCACGATCAAGATTTGAGAATGCTTGGGGTCAACTGGATGACGAAAGAAGTTAAATGGATGAATTGTAGTTAAACTATTATCATGCATCGACTTTCAGTAGAAAAAAAGTTATGCTTCGAATTTTCAACTTCATATTGAGACCTTGTTTTGGCACAGAAAACGTTCGAATTGGAAAAATGATACTTCTAGATAATTGTAGCATCTGAGTAAGCTTTCTAACGCACTTTAAATTTCCTCAATCGAATATCGATAGAGAAAGTTATGACAAAAAAATTGAAATCTGGTGTCAAAAATTAGACAAGGCGTGCCCTAGTTCGCAGGAGAAGCGCGCGCCTCCCAAATAAGAAATGAGCTACTGAGGCACCTGAAGCTCCTAGGAGCGCACCTCAATGGTAAACGATGAAAAAATCTAGGTTTTTTTATTTTATTTTGGTAATCAACTTCCTTTGTATCATATAAATAGGAGAACACATTCAAACTTAAGAAGGAGAAGATAGCCCACTTTTGAGAGAAATAGAGAGAATATGCATCAAAGAACAAAGAATTCATTGCTTGGAACTAGATTTGAAGGCATTTATTGAAGATTTGAGATTTTTTCCATAACTTAATGATTCAAGTGATGACTTTCTTTTATTTTCCTTGCATTTCTTACGTTAATATGCTATGCTAAAATACTTTATATTGGATGACTGATAAACCCTATTGTTTGTTTATTTTAATTCAAAATAATTAGTTTAGTATTTCTTCATTTTTCTTGATTGGTTTTGTATTTCTGTTGAACTATTTGATTGATTAATCACCAATTAAATAGTAAGTTGCTTGTTGTAGTGTATGAATATTTACAGTAAGTCTAGAATGCGAAAAAATCAACACATGGACAATGGGTATTAGGAATAATATCTATGGCATGTGTAATCATGTGTGATAAATCCTATGAATCAATGCATATTTTTCATATGAATTTGGACTAGAAATAAGATCGGGTCGTATTGAACATAGGTTTAATATATCTTGGATAATAATATTGAATAAAAGTGGATTATCAATTGCCTTAAATACATGAATTTATTAAATTATGAATTAGGAGTTGAATTAAATGACAATAGGAGGATTCACAATTTCAACACAAACATTCACATATTCGATAAATATTTTATTTTCTTTATTAGTTTAGGATTAGTATAGCATACATATAAACAAACTCTTTTGATTTTATATTATTTTCAATTTAATAAAAACTATTGAACTAGATATTAGACTTTATTCCCTGTGGAACTATAACTCTTTTATTACAATCATTACTTGTACAACGAATCCGTACGCTTACGGTATTTTTGATGAACAATTTTTTGGCGCCAATGCTAAGGAATAACATATTTAATTTTAATTTAATGGTTTATATTATATTTGTTTTTTTTTTTTAATTTTGGCTACCCACCCTGATCTCTCTTGATTGGTATTATTTTTAGGTGCCATTTAGCAGTGCGTCTAGGATTCAAACACTGGTATGGTAAAAAGATTTTGCAATAAATGATCTCGACATGAACAATAAGGAAGAAGATATTTATTTTGAATTCTGCTATGAGATGCACTATATTGGATTCTGCTTAAATACATGCATCAATTCCTATCAACTCAAGCTCATATGGTTTAAACAATATTTAAGATATTAAAGACTAGCAACTAACATATCTTTTGGATGCTACATGCTTGTGGGTGAGTATCCTTTCCGCACGTTTGTGGGATTTGGTCATTCCATGTTAAACGGGGAGGTACTTATAAAATACTACACTGATTTTGCCAAGTTGGATAAAAATAAAATGTGTATGGGAGATGGCATATTCCATTATGAATTTAAAAGATGAGAGTATAATCCACTTGAAAAAATTGAAAGAATAGAGTTTTCATTGCCCGTGGATATAGATTGTGAACCAACTATTCAACTTGATGAACTATCAATTATGGAAGACGAAAACAAAAATGATGAAAGTTCAATTATAAATGAACAAAATGATTGTGAGGTAATTAATGAAGAAGACGTTAACCTACATTCTGTCTACTTCATTGATTGTCCTATTATTGAATTTGTGACTAAGCCCAAAGAGGAAGAAGAAGTTTACATAGTTGAATTTGAATTGAATGAGATAGGCAAGCCATATCACATTGGAAGGTGCAAGGTCAAATTTTTAAGAAGCAACGAGGAATGGTGTAAAGTCAAAAGAGGCAAACTGGGCAATGCATCAAAAGCGTTCTTCAGAATTCCATGATGCTGAAAAAATAAAGTTAAGTTAAGGACTTTAAACAAAGCGCTTATTGGGAGGCAGTCAAATCTTTTTCCCTTTTATTTATTATACTTTCTAATCATATGATAATTTAGATTAATTTTTAATTTTAATTAGGGACTCATCATCCGATTGCCGTTTCCCCTTAAGTCTTTGAGATCTAGTTGATTTATTAGATGTTGGAGCTAAGTAATACTTTTTCCAGATATTTCATCTTCAATGTGTTTATCTAATCGTATTGTGCAGGGACATGACATTGCAGATTGCTTAACCCAACAATGACCAAGGAGACAACAGAAGCAATAGGAAAAGCTAGCCAATTATTTTCACGCCATATCAGGGGAGTATTTTCTTACTTTTCTTTCCCACCCCGTTATATGAGAATTTAGAATTTAAAATATTGAGGACAATGTCTAATTTAAGTTTGAGGGTGGAAAATATGAGTT